AAGGGTGTATCAAAGAGGATGGAGCTGGGCTGTTCTCAGAGGTGGCAAATATCAGATCAAGGACCAATCATCTCAAGTTGCAGCAAGGGAAGTTTAGGTTAGATGTTAAGGAAAACTCTCACCAGGAGGGTAGTAAAGCACTGGAACAGGTTACCCAGAGGTGGTGGAGTCTCCATCCTTGGAGGTTTTTAAGACCTGGACAGACAATGCCTTGGTTATGATGACCAAGGCATAGCTGGGGCTGGTCCTGCTCTGAGCAGGGGGTTGGACTAGAGGTGACCTCCTGAGGTCCCTTCCAGCCCTCATTTTCTATGATTCAAAGGCAGTTTTCCAGCCCTGGATTTGGGTCATGTTAAATATTTGCCTTTTCAATGAAAGAAACAACAAAACTGCTTGGAATTAAACATAAGCAGAAGCAATACAGCAATACTGTAGATCAGCCGATGAGAGAGACAGGTCAGTAAGTTCAGGACCATCCTGACTGTAGAAACAGTCTTGACACCTTTATTGCTGATTATAAATGGTCAGATATAACACACAGGTATCCTAGCAGCTCCAGCCAGACAGGGCAGGACCATGGCAGCACTCTGGTTCAGTCCAGATTTATGGAGAACAGAACTGCCCGCTGAATCGCTTCTTCCTCTGCCCATAGGACTCCAGTCTAGGTACTTCTCAGGCCGCACCTTGTTTAGTTTTGCAATCCCAGTCTAAGGTGATGCTCGCATGTGTTAGCCAGACAGAACCCAGGTATGATCTCAGCACCCATCTGCTTGGCTGTCAGCTTCCCTCTGACCTAGTAGTATACATTGCTCTCAGCTAGTCAATTATCCCAGGATCAACAGCACCAGTGAGACTGATAATTGGAGTGAAACATATGGAGAAAAAGGTTAGCTACAACTACTAAGTGCTAATTCTGAGCCAAACCCTCCGCTGGGTTATTAATTAGCTCTCGGGGGTTGGCTCATCCTCTCCTGAGATTCAGATCCTCAGGTCTTTGCAAAGCTGTTACTCATTCCATCTCCCATTAACTTCATTATGGGGAAGGCAAGTTTAGTGGGAGTTTGCCTTAGTCAACACTGAATAAGCTGGACTTGTGATGCAGCAAGAGGAAGCCCAGCTGGGAGGAGGTGCCCTCAGCTCATCCTAGCAAGAAATGTTCCTGCCATCAGAAAGCTTTTAACCCCGGCTGTGTCTTAAAGAGCTATGCACCCCATGCCACTAGGAGCAGAGCAGGGAGAGTGCAAAAAGCCCTGCACAGCCACCCCTTGCAAAAGTACTAAGCCATCTCACGTTAGATGCAACAACAAAAGCAAAGAAGAATGGACAATTCACTACCAACTCGAGGTGTGCACAATCGCTTATTGTCCCTGCAGGTTGCAGTCAAAAACCAGTCTAAGCCAAGTGAATTCCAGCTCCATAAATATGCTTGCAGATTGTGGCTTGAGAATTATTGGCTGGTATATAGCTGACAGGCAGCGCAGAAAGTAGTTTATAAAGGGGACAAAATTTGCAGCACTGTAAGGATGGAGTGGTCCTCTGTCAGGACTGGGCCTGGGTTCAGTGACAAAGTCATCACGGTTTGGTCCTGGTCAAAACTCTTGACTCTTGGGAAGAGTAAAAGCCTCTGTCCACACTGCCTGACTATGGTAGCAGACTAACAGGACTGGTTCAATGCAAGAAACCAAAGTAGCATAAGCTTAAAGGATACCATATAAATCATGTCAAAGGATGAGTACTGAACAACATAAAGGGGCTGCAGGAACACCCTGTGTTTCTTCACATGCACTGGAAAAAATGGGCTGTGTCTGGTCCAATCGATCAATCAGGATATCTAATACTAGTCCTGCTGCTCTGGGCAAAACAATAATAATGAATCACATGCAAAAATCAGTATTCACTTTTCAGCCCCTTTTGTGCCAATGCTGCAGTTTTGAAGTGAAAACAGATCAACCCCCCGCAAGGAGAATATATATTAATTTAGACTTGGTTCTGGAAATTCAAGCAGTCTCTACCGACCTACCAGATAACTGCCCTGGATATCCAGGAATTGTCCTAAACACATTGGGCAAAACATTGGGCAAACATGCTTCAACTACCTGCAGGGTGGTTCCACCGAGGATACAGCTAGACTGTTTTCACTGGTGGCAGACGACAGAACAAGGAGCAATGGGCTCACATTGCAGCAAGGAAAGCTTAGGTTAGAGATATTAGGAAAAACTCTCTCAGGGGGAGGGTAGTAAAACTCTGGAACAGGTTACCCAGAGGTGGTGGAGTCCCCATCCTTGGAGGTTTTTAAGACCCAGCTAGACAAAGCCCTGGCTGGGATGATCTAGCTGGGGCTGGCCCTGCTTTGAGCAGGGGGATGGACTAGATCAGTGTTTTTCAACCCATGGGTCACAACCCAAAAGTAGGCTGCAAGAATATATGAAAAGGTCATGAACAAACTTTAAAAACTTTAAAAGGAGAAAAGCATGGGAAACTGTGGCTTTTCCCTTGCAGGCTGGCAGAGCTCCAGCCTGCAAAGGGCTGCTTGGGGACCCCCATTCCTCACGGACAGGCCCCCCTGCCCCACACACCCACCCCTTGCCCCACATACTGGTGGGCTGAAGTCAGGGGGTTGAAAGTGAGGGGCACTGAGTTGGGACCGGCCATTGGTGTTTACAAATGGGTCCCGGTACAAAAAAGGGTGAGAACCACTGGAGGAGATACCTCCTGAGGTCCCGTCCAACTCTGTGAATAGGTCAATCACGAGCTGTTCTCAGGGTTAGCCCTGCAGAGGCACCTAGCAATACAAACCACGTCCAAGATGGGGGGTTGACTGTTTTAGGGGATAGAGGACCTAATGATCACTTAACAGAGATGTTTGCAAAGGGTGAAGGTGCAGCGTCTAAAATGCAGGGAAAGCAAATTCACAGCTTTGACTTGCAAAGAGCATAACAAAGAGTTTGGTTTCCAAAAGCCACTCCCATGCCAACACATTTCTTCCCAGTGTACAGTTGTTAGTGCTGCTATTGACTAGAGCCGCGTACAGCCAACAGTGAGTAACCCCAAGTCCAGGCATGGTGGAGCTGAGCCAGGGTTATCAGACATCTCTAGGACTTGGAAGAGCTCCGGTCCTCATGTGTCCTTTACGATTTGCCACCACTCACAGCATAAAACGCCCCTAATGTTAATAAGAATTGGGCCCACAGGTTACTGGAATGGAACTGATGGCTGGATCCCCTGGGTGTCTAATCCCATTGCTGTCACTGGCACACTCGGTCGGTGGCCTTGGGTATTTACCCCCTCGTACTTCAGGTCTCCTACATGTAAACTTAATGAATGGTGTTTCCCTACTGCTGGGGCACATTGAGGATCAATCAGCTAATGTGATTACAGCACCTTGAACTCCTTTTGAAGGCAGTGGTGACACAGTATAATTTTAAAGCAATTCATTCATTCCATT